ATGGTAAAGTAGTATTGATGGTGTATCCTAATTTTGATTTGGATTGAATATGACATAGTAAAGGATCATAATATATGCACCACATCAATGGAGAGAAAACTTCACCTTGATCAACTCCATTACTCAATTGATAAGGGTCAGTTAGCCCATAGTCTGTGATGACTTGATTTGTTCTATCTTGAAATGCAGTGAGAAATATTTTCCTTAATTTTTGAGGGAAGTGGAGACGTGCCATGGCTTTATCTAACATACTTCTATTGATTAGGTCAAAAGCTTTACTCATATCTTGTGAGAGAATCCAGCATTCTTTTTTAGATTCCCGTGCATTCTCAGAAATTGCATTAATAATGTGGATTGGTTCTTGACATGATTTCCCTGGCAAGCCAGCAAAATTATTTCCTTTTAGGATGGGATGAGTTAACATGGTTGATGATAGTCTATTTGTGATGATTTTATAGAAGCATTTACGAGTGCATTCTAATAATGTAATAGGACGAGTGTGTGTGAGTTGATAATGCCATTCTTTGGGTTTTGGTATGGGATAAACATTGGCATGTTTCCAAGCTGATGGAATATGAGATATGGATATGCATCTGTTGAATAGTGAAAGCAAAATTTCTATGGTATCTGGATTCAGATGTTTTAGCATTTCATTTGAGATTGATGATGGTCCAGCACCTTTTTTTAAAGGGAGATCTGATATGTTATTTAATAATTCAGTTTTTGTAATAGGTGATAGTATGGAGTCATACCATTCAGGTTTGATGTAGTTTAGGGGTTGATAGACATGAGCCCACTCATTCCATAAGTTATTAGGAGGTGGATTATTTGCTGTGCTAGAAATATTTGAGAAGTGAATTCTTGTATGAGATTTCACAGTGTCTGGATCTGAGGATATATGTTGAGATCCATCAGGTAGAGTAATCAAGATTTTGTTAAGGTCAATACATCTGTAAGGTTTTTCAAGAATTGATGAGAGCATACTTGAGAGGTTGTCTTTCATGTTATTACAACGTTTTTTGATATTTTCAGTGATTTGTTTGTTGATGAAGTCCATTCTTTTATGAGACAGTTTTGTCGAAGTGAATGTTCAAAAGTTTAGTCAAATTTATAATATTTTCAAGAACTTCTGTGTTGAAAAGTATAAAACTAGGGAATGTGTAGTTATGTAAGAAAGCAATGGTTTTAATTGAGCAAAATGTTGTATGCCATTTTATTGGCAATGGAGTAGATTGTTTAAATGAATGTAATGAAGAAAGGAGATGTGTGATTTTACAATGTTGTTTGAATAATGAGGTGTTGACTAATGGTCGGTGAGGAGTAGCATGTGGTGAAACTTTTTTTGTAGGGAGGGTTTCATTTGCTGCAGATATAATGATTTTGGAGAATTCTTGCCAAATTGAATTTATGTTGTTCAAAGATTTGGGCTGTTGAATTAGAAATTTTAATTTTGATTTTTCAATCATTAGGTCTATTTTGTTTGCAAACTTTGTCCATTGTTCAAAAGTAGTTGCTGAATAGTTAAATATTTGTCGTGAACATGTATTGGTTTTTATGGAATGTGTTGTTGGTTGTGAAGTTAAGTTAGATATCTCAAATGAACATATAATTAATTTATGATCAGCATTGTAAAATGGAGTAATATCAATTGTTTTGAATGAGATTGGTGTAAGTGATAATGATGGTGATATCCAAATTTGATCAATTCTTGATGATTGGATACCATTAGACCATGTATGTTGTGGATTGTCAGAAAAGAGTGATGCAATATCTAAGAAATTTTTTGACATAAGGTGATATGTTACTTTGTATTTTATTGGACATGATCTTGATGATGTAATTATAGGGTGAACATTCACAGGATCTGAGTTGAAATCACCCATTATAATTAAAGAGAAATTATTTTGCAGGCTTTGATTGATGAATGAGATTAGTTGATTATGAACTGGAGTTAGTATGTTGGGATCTGAGGTTGCTGGTGAATATACTTGGATAATTCGAAGCTTGATTCGATTGGGGAAAAGTAAATCTGCAGCTATGTGTCTTCCTTTTGATGATGTGATTTTTTGGACATGTTTTGTTAGGAAAGGTGAAAGTATTAAGCCAACACCTGCACTGTTGGGATGATCAGGATCACAGTCCCACCATCCATGATAATCTTTGGGAAATGGGTAGCAATATTTTGCTGATTTAGGAGGCAATCTAGTCTCCGATATACCTAAAACATCTATTGAGTAGTGACTAATTAATGAGTTGATGGCATTTGTTTGGTAATTGTGTTTAATCCTCTAGCATTTATTATTGCAAAATTTCCTATGGTAGTTGAGAGTAGTGGGAGTTGTAAAAAATTTGATGGACAAGATTGTATGTTAATGTATTTATGTGTTAAGATGAGATGTTCATCTGGAAGTAGAATATGTGTTTCACTATATGTTGAGTTGACTGAGAATTTTATGGAAGTGGTATCTATATTAGGGTGATTGTTTTTTAAATATCTAATGAATGAATTAATGGTTTGTGGGTGATTTATGAGTTTATGAGAGTAAAATGCTAAAATTTGTTGAAACATTTCATTTTGTAGCTTCCATTGAAGTAACAACCTGAAAAGGATCATATGATTCTAAGAGTGAATCAAATGTTGGTGCAAAATTTTGAAGTATAATATCATCTGTGTGAGTTATTGCATATTCTGTACCAAATGTTGCTTGACAATAATTGAAAACAGCTGAACGTGGTGGAGGAGTTTCAAGTGATTTAAGATGATCATCAAGTATTTGTCTGTGATCTTGATCTTGATTGCTTTTGTCAAAACTTGGTATAAAATCTTTTATGATAAGATTAATAAGAATTTGTTTATTGACATGAAATAGAAAGCCTGTTATTTTTTGTTTGTTGTGAGAAGAGTACAAATTGAAATCAATTCTTTCAACTGCTAAATTAACTGCTTCATGTAATTTGGCAGTTGGAAAAGGTTCTGAAATATTAGTATCAATGCTTGAAAGATCAATTGTAGGGAGAGTTAATGTGGATTGAAATATTGGGCATGTTGTCTTGTGCTTATTTTTTTCTGAGCTTGAATCTACACCACAGTGTGTGCAAGTTTTAGGGATGGGAAATTTTTCAAATGATTGTTTCCAGTATTTGTCACAGAGTGTTTCAAATCCTTCATCTGATTTATAATATTTGATATCCCAATTTGCCATTTGACGAACTGCATATTGTCTAGTTTTAAGGGAATTTATTGTATATCTATCCCAAGAAGGAGGTGATGTAACTATTTCAAAGTATCTTCTATGGAATTCTTCATATATTTTGCTACGGAGGAATCCAAGTACTTTTTCTTTTTGTGTTGATGGATGATGAACTTTATAGTATGGGTAAAATTTTGATTCAAACCAGGCATCAAAAAATTCTTTAGAATTTTTTAAGGATGGGGTATTAAATTCCATTTTTTCCAAAGGAGGGAGGTTGAAATATATATTAGTACGAAGATTTGCATGGACAACTGATATAATATAAGGGTCATTTTCATTGTAGTTTTCACGAGGATTGACAGTAAAGTGAAAAGTAATACTTGGTGTGGTTGGTTTAAATTTGCTAATAAGATCATCTAGAGAAAAAGGAGTGTATTTGTTTAGAAGGTATAAGTAGAATCGAGCACAGTTTCTAAATACATTAAGACGGTCATTATGTGGTGAAGGTGGAATTTTAGTGGCAAAGAATTTGACATAGTCAAGTTTGGTAAAAATATAGTCAAGTAAATTGCATAAATTTTTTGTAATGAATTTTCTTTTTGCAGATTGAAGAGTGAATAAACTAATATCAATATCATTTTTCCATTCAGTAATCAATTTGTTTGGTAGATTATTTGAAAGCATGTCAATGGTTTTGTCAAAGGTGGTGAAACCTGGTTTAAATGCACAAATTCCTGGAAGTATATAGTTGTAAAAAGAATGGAAGTATTTGTTGTTGTTTGGAAAAGTATATGGCAAAGATTCATTGTGAGGGATGATTGATGAGAAGAGGGGAAGGTTTGGCTTATCTGTTGATCTATTTTTATTTTTTGGTGTAATTGTTTCTGCATATGTTTTTTTTATTTTTTGATCTTGATTATCCATAACAATATCTATATCAGATGAATCCTGTTCATTAGTGTTGTTGGTGTTAGCATTGGTGGTTAGATCATCTGTGTTTGTATCTAAATTAAGTGTAACATTTGATGCAGCATGTGCAACATTAAGTGTAATGTTATGGAAGGAATTTTGAGTTGTGGAGGTTGGTGAGATGGCTTGGGAAGAGATTGTATTTTCAGAAGAGATGGATTTTGTATCCATCATTTCCATAGATGTATTAACAGTGAGTTTTGGAGTTGAATAGGGACAAAAATCAGTTGGTTTTTTGAATGAACAATTCAAATTACAGGCAAAAGATTTACTGTCTTTATGAGCAAAGATTTGCCCAAAACAATGATTAGTATTATTATCTTCATTGGTTAATGTATAGATGAATGTTTGATTGCAGTTAATACAAGCAATCAAGTAGTAGTCTTCTTGAGGGCAGACTGAACCAGAAGGAGAAGAAGATCTATCAATTTTCTTTTTTCTGGAGCAGGAGTAGGTGGACTTTGTCCAGTTTTGGCTTTATTACGATTTCTTTTATTTGTCATCTTAACTAGGATTAATAACTATTGTATGGATGAAAAATAAAGTAAAATATGTTTTTGATTTGGTTGTTTTAATTAAAACAGTAAATTTTTTTTCTTTGAAAATTTTTATTCAAATGATCAGCAGAAAGAGTTTTTTTTTTATTAATTTATTTTATAATAAACGTACATTTTATTTTTTAATTAAATTATTGCGTGTAACAATAAAAAATGGGGTATGTAGATCGCGTGCAAATTACTTTAAAAAGGTATCCGGCCTACAATTCTCCATTTTTTTATTAAGCAAACAGGGTCTAATATTTTTGCCAATTATAATCTTTATGTTATAGATCAATATTATGTAAAAAAAAATTTTTTGGTCATATGAGGTCGAAACCCCTTTTTGCTAGAAAAGCTCCCAATTAACCTTTTGGTCCACATTAACAAAAAAAAAAAATGAGCAAAGGTATTTTTTTTCTTACATAAAAAATAACTTTATAATATAAATAGGATTTTTAATGTTTTTTGTGCTTTATAATATTTAGCTAAATTTTATAAAGGTAAATATTATAAATTTGTATATAATAACCCAGGGTATTAGTGTTATATTGTAAATTAATTTTACAATTTTTCATTTGATTAAATATTTCTAGATCGTAAGTATTTATACTATATATAATGATAAATTAACTTTTATAGTGCAAAATAATTTTTATTAAAACATCATGAATTTATTTTTTATTTCTTTATAATGACCAGTTAGTAAGTATTTTATTTTTATTATAAATTAACTTTTACATCATAAAATAGTTTTATCTAATAAAATTTCTTTTTCAGATCGTAAGTATTTTATTATAAATTAACTTTTTATAACACAGAATAATTTTTATTAAAACATCATCTAATCAAATAAATTTCTCTATAATAATAATAATAAGCTGGTAAATATTGTTATATTGTAAATTAACTTTATAACACGAAATAATTTTTATTGAAATATCATCTGATTAATAAATTTATTTTTTATTTCTTTATAATAACCAGTTGGTAAGTATTATATTGCTGTAAACTAACTTTACAATACAAAATATTTTTTATTAAACCATCACCTAATTAATAAATTTATTACAATAATCAGATTGTAAGTATTTTATTTTATCATATTATATTATATTATAATTAACATGCAAAATATAATCTTCATCTAATTAATCTTTATTTCTTTATAATAACCAGATTGTAAGTATTTTATATTATTATATTATAAATAAATTAACTTTTACAACACAAAATAATTTTTATCTAATTTATTTTTGTTTCTTTATATTAACCAGCATGTAAGCATTATATACAAAATAAATTTATTAAAACAAATCATCTAATTAAAATTAAGGCTAAATTTACTTTATAATAACTAGTTGGTAAACAATATATTATTATATTATATATTAACTTTTGCAAAACAAAGCAATTTATTTTTAATTTAATATATAATTCATCTTTTGTCTTTATAATGACTACCAATTAAAGAAGGTAAAATATTTTTATTTAGAATGAATGCCTATTTTATTATGTTGAAAAATAAATGCTATTTTCTTTTTAATAAAAAAAATTAATCATTTGAAATAATAAGATACCACTAAAGGGTTTAAAAATGAAAGAAAAGAAGAGTATGGAATCTGTTCTGCTTGTAAAAGAGACAATACTAATTACCAATGGTGTCAATCATGTGATCCCAAATTGTTGGCTCAAAGTTGGACTAGCAGTGGTAATGAAAAATTAGATGAAATAATTAAAAATACACAGCTTGAGGCAAAAGGGTTTGATAGTTATAATTACCTTGAATGGATTCCTTATGACCAACTCAAATTTAAAGAAGAAATAGGCAAAGGTGGATTTGCAACTGTATATAAAGGTTACTGGTCAAATGGTCCTAGGATAAAAAATATTATTATTATGATAAATATGTAGCATTAAAAAAGTTAAATAATTCACAAAATATTTCTGACAATTTTTTAAAGGAGGTAATATAATTAATTAACCATTAATGACTTTTAAATAACACAATGTATTAAATTTTTTTATTAATTTTCACAAAAGCTTCAAAATCACATTAAATTTATAGGTCCTTATTATAAAGGTGTTGTTAATATTTATGGTATTTCGCAAGATCCCAATACAAAAGAATATATTCTAGTGATGAGATATGCAGACAATGGAAGTTTTAGAAATTACCTAGAATCAAATGATCCAGAATGGAAGAGTGGAATTACTATGCTTTATAATATTATCTTGGGTTTAAGCATCTTTCATCAAGAAAAACTTATGCATCATGATCTTCACAGTGGCAATATTTTGTATTTTCGATTTTTATCCCAGAAGGTAATGATTGCGGATTTAGGGTTATCAGGCCCAGCTGATCAAGAACCATCAAGCGAAGATGGCATTATTGGAATACTGCCATATATTGCACCAGTGGTTTTAAATAAAAAACCTTACACAAAAATCTGACATCTATAGCTTTGGAATTTTAATGTCAGAAATATCAACACATCAACAACCATTCAAAGATCTACCATATGATCTAAATCTTGCTTTCAGAATCTGTGGTGGCTTAAGACCTAGCTTTTCAGATAATACTCCAAAATGTTATATTGAGCTAGCATACAAATGCACAGATGCTAATCCTGAAAAAAGACCAACAGCAAATGAAATTTTAAAAACTGTTACTTTTTGGAAAGATGCAATTGATCTTGATGAAATTCTAAAATCAAATAAATCTAATTATTCTGAAGAAGAGCTTGACAAATTAAAAATAACACAAAAAATATTCAAGAAAGCAGATGAAAAACCTTTTAATCCTTCAACAATTACAGCAACTGTTCATCCAAATGCAATTTATACAAGCAGATTATTGAATTTTACAAACCTTCCCCACCCTGTAAACTCAAATAAAGTTACAATTATTAGTAATAATAATGGTAAATAATCTAATTTATTGTTATATATATATCATTTATTATTAACAATATTTTAAATTATATGTTATATATTTTAAATACTTGTAGAATCTCGACAAATTGACTTGACTATACCAGATGATTTATTCATCTGACTATTTGAATTTTCTGGTCTTTTTATTATCATTATAAGGAGGTGAATAAAATATCTCATTGTTGTTTTTTTTAAAAAAATGTGATCAATTATAATCTATTTTAAATTAGGCAAGCTTTCTTTGCAGTTTAACTTAATTGAGGTGGCCATACTCTTATTATTATTATTATTATTATTATTACTATTATTATTATTATTTTTGTTTATAATTATTATTAATATTTGCCAGGGCTGTTAATTGATGTAGCAGCAAGCTATCCATCTATCTACAAAAAGCATTAATAAATCTTTACAAGTTATTAAAACATTCAGAAATTTTACAATAATTCAAATTGCCCACTTACCTGGCCAAATTTATCAATTACTGATAAAGGGATGGAATTTTAAAGATGTATGAAAGCCAAATCTTAGAATGGTATTAGTATAGTTGAATGGGCTCATCAAAAATCTGAAAAGACATTCTTTTGATTTCAAGAATCAAAGTTGTCTTGTAACTTTGTCTGGGAATATGTTAATTATATTTGATCTAATATATTCATCAGGATATTATTCTGTTTGCAATTTCTCATGATAGTATAGTCTTTTTTCTTTGATAATGCTGTTTTTACCACATTAACTAGGGCTTTGTCAATGTAGCCAAACAAATTGTATTAGTGTCTTGCGTTTAAATAATTATCTTAAAAGATATATTTAATCATATACTTCTTTGTTCTACTTGTGGTGAACCTACTTCAAAAGATTGTATGTAAAAAGTTTTTAACAATCCAGATGTGTTGACAATTTTTTTTGCAAAAAAAAAATAACTTTTTATTAATGATTAAATATAATAATATCTTGATATCATCTTGGCACCTCTCTAGCACAATATATATGCAAAAGGATACTGAAGATATTCTAAAGTGTTATCATCAATATATTGAGGCAATCAAAAGATATGTGTCTAATATGTTATATGGGGAGTCTCAAGCAAAAATGAGTCAATTTTTTTTTGACATTTTCGAGATAACGATATAATAATATATAATTTGTGTCAGTGAATCTTTTTATCTTAGAAATATACCCATACTTACTTAATAAAATTTTGAGATACGTGGGGCATTTGAAAAGTTTTGTCACTGGCCCTGTAAAATGACAATCTTATGTGTAACTTTGTACAGATTTTTTTTAAATGAAAATAGTCGTTTTTGTCTATTAAATAAAAAAAAAATTATTAAATTTTGTTCATTAATTATAAAGCTATTGACATTTAAAAATTTGCTAAAAAAACAAATGGAAAATTTTAATCGTGAACATCAACGTTACTACATTTTTGTAAGCTGGAAAAATGGTAAGAGTGCAAAGACTAGTGCCGTAATCCAAAAAAGGAAAAAGTATGGTTGCAAAAGTGGTCGCAAAGGTAATTGTGACCACTTTTTATATGCCGTAAATACAATTACTACCATCATCATAATTTATGGCACTAGTCTTTAGTAAATACCTTTTAATTTAATCATTTCATTCCAAAAATATATATAAAAAATATTAATTAATAATAATATAAAAATGGATAAAAAGTAAATATTGAAAAAAAATTGCCATCATTACTGTCTTCAATATACTTGGGTTCATAAAACTTTTTTTTTGTGAATCTCTCTAAAACTAATTAACCAAATTCTAGACGAGACCTACAAAGCTTGGAAAGCAGGTTTTACGAAATATACTTGATGAATGCTTTATCTAGTTGTATGACAGACGTTCTTGATTGTGATGCATATTTGAAAATGCCACAGTTCTTTACCTATTTTTTGTATCTCGCTAAGCATTTGATCGAATTAAGTATTTAGATTCAGAATTCTATTTCACATCATATTTAAAGCTTATTTATAGTTGATATGTAGTAATGTTATTTAATATTGACTTTAAATCACGATTCGTTGACACATTTTAGTGATAATATTAAATAACTATTTAAATTTCTCTTTCTTCTTTTTTTGACAATATGTATGTTATTGTTGCTTGCTCATAATAACTAGTTATTTTAATTGTTATTATTTATGCGGTAAAAGAAAAATTTTAAACTTTATAATTATTCATAACAA